AAACACATAGGATCAAATAGCAAATAATTTAAAATTAAACATTTAATTTAATGATTATCTAAATTTGACCTAATTTTATTCACAAGATAATTCAACAAATAAATCAAATAATCAAATTTTATCATATAAGGAATTTATTATTTAATCAAATGGTAATTATCTTATGTTTTGGTAAGGATAATCATATACTAACAATACAATTTGGATTTTATTAGTCAAAAACGATTTTGGTAATTATCCTTCAGCAAAACAGCAAGAAATCCCAAAAATCCCTATGTCTGACGACCCGACTCGCCGAGTCCCCTTATGGACTCGTCGAGTTCATCCTACTCGTCGAGTCCACATTGGGACTCGCCGATTCTGTCAAGCAGAAGACCCAAAAACTCGATTTTCAAGTAAGAATGAAACACAAAAGCATCAATACAATAGAAACCAAACAAAGCTCTGATACCACTGATGAGTTTGAGCCAAAAGAACATCCTATGTGCTCATGCAAACCCTAATGCTTGGATCTAGGTTTCTCTATTGTACATGCAATTCATCCAAGACTTACAAACCCTAGATCTAGTGTACATATTTCGAAATTAATACAAGAAAACAGATCTAGATGATTACCTCTTGAACAAAGCTTGAATCTTCTTGTCCTTGGAGCTTAGAGTCACAAGTGTCACTCCTCTAATGGCTTACAAACACCACAAGCAGGAGGATGCTAATTGAGAGAGATGGGAGAGGCAGGATTTCGGCTATGAAGACTCTTAGGGTTCAAGTGGCCGAAAATTGGATGCCTTGGGGTCCTATATATACTGGTGTTGCTAGGGTTTCAGTCAAAATCCTAATGGATACCTTAGGCCTTAATCAGTCCAAGGAAGCTTCTGGAATAGGGCCTCTTGGACGAAATTAGGATGGACACATCGCTAATTTCGTCCAAACCTAATTCCATAAGCCTTCTCAGCCCAATACTCAACTATCACACATTTGACAGTCTAAGTCCCCTTTATTTAATTCATGTATTTTAGCCACAGAATTAATTCTTGTCTAATATTAATTAAACTATATGATTTCCCCTTTAATATATTATTCATATAATATATTAATAAACCATAATAACCTCTCACTTGATAAATCATCATATCATGTTGTTTTGGTGAAGGCAACCCAAAAGGTCCATGCACAACCGGGTCAAGTACTTACCAAATATAGTTACGGGCTTAGGCACTAATCCAACATGATATGCGTCCAACATAGGGAACTGTGTAAATACCAAATATGACAGTTTCTATGCTTTTAAAAGCCATGATTGTCATGTGTTTATGCTACGGTTGCTTCCACTTGCTATAAGAGGATTTGTTCCAAATGAGGTATATGACGCGGTAACAGAGGTGTGCATGTTCTTTCGCGTATTGTGTTTGAAAACATTACATCTAGATGACTTAAATAAGATGAAGGAAACCATTGTTCAAACTGTCTGCAAGTTGGAGAAAATATTCCCTCCGGGTTTCTTTGATTGTATGGAACACCTTGTCATACATTTAGCTCAAGAAGCTATTATTGGTGGTTCGGTGTAATACAAATGGATGTATATCTATGAGAGGTAATCATATTTTTTGTATGTTTTATAGATCTAATGTTTTTTTTAAAAGTGTTATCTATTCATTCATAACACATTCTCGATTATTCCAAAATATAGGAAGCTTGGATTGTTAAAAAGAACAATTAGAAACAAAGCGAGGGTTGAGGGATCAATTGTAGAGTCGTATCTAATGAATGAACTTGCTGGATATTGTTATTTATACTTTGACTCTACAATTGAGACACGTCATAATCGTGAGCCGAGGAATTTCGCACCTGATTATCCCAACTTTTCGAGTACAGACTCCTGGTTGAGTGTGTTTGTCTTTTCGTCACGAAGATTATTTGCAAAGGGTGGAACACGAAGATTCATGGATGACCAAGAACTTCACAAGGCTCACATATATATTCTATTAAACTGCATAGAAGTTCACCCTTACGTCTACATGTTCGATGAATCAGTGCAAGAAGAATATCCAAATGAGACGAATGAGTCGCTTCAGAGTCGTAGACATCGATACTTTGCTGACTAGTTCCAAAAACACGTAAGTTAAACTGCCTAAGTTGTAGTGATAACTATTAATTCATCATTAGCCAACATAATAAAATGTGTGTTCTTTAATGTAGGTAAAGGAGTCGGATGAAAGTACTAACCATTTGAAAGTTATAGCAAGAAGACCATCACAACGTGTTAAATCTCACAAAGGGTACTTTGTAAACGGTTATAAGTTCCACACACAGAGGCATGGTGATGGACGTATAACAAATAATTGTGGAGTATGCGTGACAGGGACAAATTATAATGTCGAAGAGACTGACTACTATGGCATACTGGACGAGGTACTAGAGGTTGAATATGTTGGTGGCGGGAGTGTTATACTGTTCAAATGTACATGGTTTGATCATGTCCATGGTGTAAAAGTTAACAAAAATAAGTTGGTTGATATTAAACCCAAGTCCCGACTTCAAATTTATGACCCTTTTGTCTTGGCATCACAAGCGGAACAAGTGTATTATACACCATATCCCGCTATGAAAAGGGATACAAAAGATTGGTAGGCTGTTATCAAGACAAAACCAAGAGGGATATATGAAGTCGCTGAATATTTATCTGAAGTCGTGAACGATGAAAACATGGAAGCTGATCAATTCTTTCAGACTGATGAACGGTTCGAGTATACAAATGAAGTAATTAATAATGAACGCATGAACCTAGTCACATATGGAGAATTTCAAGAGTCTGATACCGAGAGAAATGAAGAAGGGGCTCGAGAGGAGGAAGAATTCCAAGAGTTTGAAGATGCAGACGATGATGAAGATGAATTTGATTTATTCGATCACTCTTCTGATTCAGGATGAACTTGATTATTGATATCCACTTTAAATTATTTGTATTTAGCTAACCTTTCTTTTTCTTCTAAACGCAGGGTATATAATATGGGTCGTACATATCCTCCTCCGAAAGGTTTGGGAGACGGTCGTGGAGGGAGTATTGATAAAAGTGTAAAAAAAACTATTAGTTACAGTGGAGACGTCCGTGGAGGGAGTATTGATAAAGGTGGAAAAAAAGCCATCAGTTACAGTGGAGACGGACGTGGAGGGGGTATTGATAAAGGTGGAAAAAAAAAAGCTGTTAGTTATAGTGGAGATAGAGGAGGCACGAGAGGCAGTAATGATGTAGGAGGCATGAGAGGCATGAGAGATGGTAGTGACAGAGGAGGCATGAGAGATGGTAGTGACAGAGGAGGCGTGAGAGATGGTAGTGAAAGAGGAGGCTTGAGATATGGTAGTGACAGAGGAGGCATGAGAGATGGTAGTGACAGAGGAGGCATGAGAGATGGTAGTCACAAAGGAGGCATGAGAGATGGTAGTAACAGAGGAGGCATGGGAGATGGTAGTGACAGAGGAGGCATGAGAGATGGTAGTGACAGAGGAGGCATGAGAGATGGTAAAGGATCACAGATGAGTTCTTCTGGCAGTGGCACATTTCATGACCCGTATGGACCGGATACCATCTTCGACAAGGAGGACTTTGCATCTGATGGGGATAGCGGGGGGGGGGGTATTGTTAGGCGTGGGTCCAATATCCTATGTTCGCCTCCGGCTCATCCTTCTAAGAGGATATGGATCACACGACTCGGGCGGGGGTTTTTTTTTCTTATTGAAATTTATGTTGATTATTGATGTTATAAATATACTAATTTGGTTAATTTGATATTATAGGTTTCATGATGAATTTGTGCATCGTCAGATCGCAAGTATAATGAAAGAGTTTATGGATGATGCTTGGCCTACATGATAAAAGGTCCCGTTGAATGTTCGGAAGAATATGTTTAATGTTTTTTGGGTAATGTATTAATACTTTATAATTTATCTTTATTTGTTTTAAGTATGCTTATTTAACTTTACATTTTACTTGTTATAGGGGATTTATCAGTGGCCTGAGTCGGAGGAGGATAAAATCTTCGAAGGTTTCAAAAATGTCTTGAACCGTCGATATAGAGACATTATTAATGGTGCTAGGAAGGCATCTGCATTAGCAGCCAAAAATGCTGGTCATGTCTTCCCACCAGGGGAGACTTATGATTTCTCAGTGATGCGTGATTTTCCGCCTACTTGGATCACATCTGACGTATGGCAGGCTCTCTGCACGGTAAAGTGATATAATACAATAAATTTCTTATAATAATCATGGCTTTCTATTTTATCATAAAATAACTTGTATTTATTACTACACAGATATGGGACACTGATACTTGGAGAAATATATCCGAGAGCGGAAAGAGAAATCGTAACAGTAGTGTTAATGGTTCCATCTCGGTACATACAGGTGGATCAATTACAACAGAGCAACACCGCAAGAAGATGATAAATGAATCTTGTTTATAAATTTTAGTAATTTGTTTTTAGCTTAGCATAAATTACAACTATGTTTTTTTAGAAGAAGGCAAAGGGGGAGGACCCTTTGTGGGGAGACGTTTTCAAGCAGACTCACCTTGAAAAGAGTGCAAAGGTGAAGTTGGCATCTGGAGAGTTGATTGGGAGCCAACCTGAGCACTGGGTTAATGAGAAGTCTTGGACTGTATTTGTAAGTTATCTTTATCCTTTTTAGATTTAAGATTTGATGTATTTAATTATTTTCCAAGTGTTTAGAGTAGTAACAATTTTTATGTTTTGGTAAATCGTATGACAAATAAGAGAAGGCAATGTGTGAGAAATATGGCCCCGACCCTAGTCAACATCCGTTGGGTGATGTTGAAATATGGGAGCATTGTGTTGGCGGGAGAAAGAAGGGGCGCGACTTTACGGGGTAGGATCATCAGATCCGGGCAACGTCGTGTCGGGGAGACCTTACGAGTGTGGCTCATCATCCCATGATTATGTCTTATATCAAAAGAAGGTATGTGTCTATATTATGATAAAAATAGTAAAGTATGTTGCTATTTCCTTCTCTATTTTATACTAATTATATGTTTGTTGGACCATATTTTAGATAAATGAATTAGAGAGCATGTTGGAACGAGAAGTGAAGAAACGGGAGGAAATAGAAGCCAATTTTGAAGTTACGAGAGGACATGGAAAGTCGTCTTCTTGGAAAAATGAATGATCTTTTGAAGCAATTCACCGGAAGATAAAAGGTAATATTTGAGGGCATTTATGGTATTTGACAATATATAAATATCTCTCTAGCTAACAACTCTCAACGAAAGGTGTGGAATCCACGAGTTAATCAAGAAAGAATTCTCTATTGGTTGTTGACAATATTTGACAATATGGATTGAAATTTATGGTATTTGACAATATGGATTGAAATTTATAGATTTATTGTATGTCAAATGATTGAAATTTATGGATTTACTTTTATATTCGTTGGTTTTAAAATATAGATTTAATGTATGTTTAAAAAATTTGTGTTGAATATGTAATTATTTTTAGTTTTTAATTTCTTCATTACTTTGTAAATTTTTTTATAATGCTAAAATCCGTCGCTAATCTGTTACAAAAATATTTTGTAGTCATTTCGGGATTCCGTCGGTGATCTGTTAGTAAGTTATTTCAGATTCCGTTGGTAATCCGTTAGTAAATTTTTCCGTCGGTAATCCGTTGCAAACAAATTCCGTCAGTAATATATTATGTTGGTGATCCGTTACTATTTCCGACGGAAAAATCCGTTACTAAAAATTAGCCAAAGCCGTCGAAAATCCGTTACAAACAATTAGCGACAAAAATATACCGACGGATTTTGGAGTGTTACAATTCCGTCGGTAAAGAGCATTAGCGACGGATTACCGACGGTTTTGGGCGTCGGTAATGCTCTTTTTTGTAGTAGTGTAATAAATGCATATCAGTTTCATTAATGAACTTTCCTTTTAATTTCAAATTACTAAATTAAAGATTCATTAATTTTCTTTATTTATTTATCTAAATTATTTGTTTAAATTTAAAAAGAAAAAACACTTTAATTTTTATAATTCAATATTTTCTTACTTTTCTTGTAAATTCAACTTCTTAGATTTTGTATTTACTATTAAATAAACCTATGTAATGGATGATGATCCATTTTTGTGGTGTAAGGGTGAGTAAACAAATATCAATATTTATCACATTTTTGTGGTGTAAGGGTGAGTAAAAAAAGTGACTAACTCAGTTTGGCTGTCCCCACCTCATTTCGACAAATGAATTATAAGGCCGGACGGAGTGGACTGTGGGGAAACCGCGGGATCGGTTCCCGCACTTAAGCACACCGCACCATGGGTGCGGGAAAGGAACGGCGGGAAGAGGCTG